GTCATTTATATTAGGCCCCTGATAAAAGAAGGGGATGATTTTCCAAGTAGAGGGGAAAAGCAGTTTGTATAATAGTGTGGAAGAGTGAGACTATGTCAGATTTGGGAAATGATGTGATTAATTTGACAGGAACCAGAGTGATGGGCTAAAATGTCATGGTAAGAAATTGAGATTTTTATCATAAGTGTATGGTTGCTGTTGAAGATGTTTCTTAAAGCTTTTATTATTAAAGTAGTATGTATCTTGAACCCATTGCAGTACACTTTTCAGTGAGTATTCTATTTTTAATTAAAATCTTGTAATAAAATTGTATATAAGGAAATCCTAGGGGAGCTCTGAGTCCCAGTAGTCAAGATTCTCATTCATTAGAAAATACTAAATAGCTTGGTATACCTAGCTCTAGCTTAAGTATTCTGTTTACCTTAAGTAGTTTGTTTGCCTCAATATTACCTTAATAATGATGAAATATTTTGGTATATGTTAAGATAGTCTACCAAAGAAGTATTTTTATTACAGCATGCCTTGGAAACTAACTCTATATTAAAACACAAACCAAGCTTGTTTTAGGCCCTATGTGATTTGATCTGTTAAGCAACTCTAAGGAAGTGTTTCTACCCCTTTTTTATGAATTAAAGAAACTGAGGCTCTGAGGATTTGAGTCTCATAGATATTAAGTGACAAAGCATAGATTCAGACTCGGGCCTCTAACTCCAAAGCCAGTGCTCTTGGATATTCCGAGTTAGTTTATTATTATTATTGTTGTTGTTGTTGTTGCTTTGCTGACTGTAAGGAGGAAGGAAAAACCTACTGTAGCCACTGATCTGTTGTATTGTAACCCTTCACCTGAAGGATATATTTAATCATTTAAAATCCCTAGATGATAATGTTGGAGGTGGCCCTCTGCTTATTTTATTTCCCTGGTTTCTATTTAGAGATCTCTAAAGTTGAGTTTTGACATAAGAGAAGAAGAAATTTGCTGAGTTCTGGGCTCATGTATGTACTTCATCCTTTAAACTTCTATAATTTTTGTAGATTAGTTTTGAGGTATAGTATATATGTACCTTTTTTTCTCTGTGTTATAATTAGTTACCCTACAAAGGTGTAGTACCTTAGTAAAGCAAGTAGACAAATGTCACATTTGAGTCACCTTTCTGATGTATTACTTTTCGTGTACTTGGAAATTAACATGACAGACTATTTAGTATATAAAGTAAGAGAGAAAAGAATATACTTTGTTCATTGGTTTTGAAAATGATCAGGCCTGTCTGTATTTACAAATGGCTCTTTTGAAATTCTTGGTCAACTAGGTTTCACAGACTTGACTCCTTTAATCTGTGCCTGTTAATCAATGTTTTGAGACTAATTCTTGTTAAATTTGCTAAAAATCCCTCAGATAATGGGTAACACTCCAGCTGAAATATTCCACAAACCCAAAATTTCATATTATACTACTGTCTTTATCCTTGGAATATACTGAGTTTTTCTGTAGTACATAGATTGTATGACTTCATATAGTTTCTTCATTTTGAATATATGTAGAAGGTGATTGTTAACTGCACACTTTAGCAACCTCACTGTATTCGTTCTGACATTTAGGTTCATTTATAGTAGGGGTGGGGAACTTTTTTTTTTGCCAATGGCCATTTGGATATTTATAACATTATTCACAGGCCATACAAAAATTATCACCTTAAAAATTAGCCTGCTATATTTGGCCAAACATTTAATTAACTCACCCCTAATGCCTTGGCAGGGCCAGACCAAATAATTTCTCGGGCCTTATACAGCCCTCAAGCCAGACATTCCCCACCCCTGATTTATAGTATTTTATTTCACAGGTTCTTTTCTCACCCCAAGACTAATGACAGATAAGATCTTTTTTTCACTTCTACATTTGACTTATGAGAACATTTCATTATTAGTTTATGTTGTAAAAATACTGGAATTTCATAACTTAAATCATATGACTATTTAAAACCAATTCATTTGGCATGTGAATTTTTTTTTTTTAAATATATTTTATTGATTTTTCACAGAGAGGAAGGGAGAGAGATAGAGAGAGTTAGAAACATCGATGAGAGAGAAACATCGATCAGCTGCCTCCTGCACACCTCCCACTGGGGATGTGCCCGCAACCCAGGTACATGCCCTTGACCGGAATCGAACCTGGGACCCTTCAGTCCGCAGGCCGACACTCTATCCACTGAGCCAAACCGGTTTCGGCATGGCATGTGAATTTTATTCAAATTAAATACATGTATGTTTTTCCAAAGTCAGGATCTGAATTTCTTTTAAAGAATGCTATCCTTATAAATATATTGTAAATACTCTTTAATGAATTTTAAATTTCAGACTTGCAGAATAAACTTCCAAGTTTACTCTTTGTTACTCTCTTGTATTTACTACTTTCCTTTTTTAAGTCAATCTGTTTATTTTAAACCGAAGGTCTCCCAAACAAACCTGTATGAATAGCATACTTGCTCCCACGTGGTCCTGGGTAAGCCTTGTAAAAAAGCCAAATTGAGTTTTCAATTGGTTCAGTTGGCTTTCATTTAATTTGGCAGACCAATTCTAAGTACAGTGGAAAAAAGAGGCCTGACAAATATATCTTGAGAGGATACAAGCTATTAAATAAACAGTAGTTAGCAGCCTCTTAATCCTTTCTTGATATCTAATCAGTGCCTTTGATTGCCTTAGACCTAGTCAAGAGAAAAATAAAAGGTTAAAAGAATAGAAAGGAGTTGAAGTAGGACAAGCAAAAAGAAGTGCACATACTGAAGACTCCTAATTAATCAAATAGTTGCTTTGGTGACACTCTGGCAACTGGTGTGTGTCTACCTTTCCTAGTTTTGGATCATCTTAAGAGGTACCCTACCGTTTAAATTTTTTTAAATGCCTTTTAAAAATGGTTGTGTGGTGTGTGTTTTTAATTCAGTAGATAACACAATGGGTCTTAATCTAATTTTTGGAGTCATGGAATTCTATTATTTTGTTTGATGATCATTGATATTTGATTGCTATTCTAGCAGAGCTTGGAAATAGTTTTCTTATTGTACTACTACTGCAGAGACTCTCTTAAGGTAATTGTTAGGGTCTCAGAAATGTCATATTGTATCTGAACCTCATTTTTATGACAAAATAATAGCTGTCATTTATTAAGCATTGACTATCTACCAGGAGCTTTCTATATAGTCTTTACATATGAATCACTGCATTATTTAACTGATAAAGCGACAGACCTAGAGAGGTTAAAATTTAACTCTGCTATATATTTAGCATAGTGATTTAAGAGTATGAACTCTGGGACCAGATTGCCACCTAACTAACTCTGTGACATAAGACAAGTTACTTCTATCTGACCCAGTTTTCTTATCTGTGAGATGGGAATAGTAATAGCACCTACTCTTAGGGCTGTTGTAGAATTGAGTTAATAAATGTAGAACAGTTAGTGTCAAGTATATAATCACTCATATTCTTAGCATGCTGCTGTTATTCTGCTACAGCATGGATCAAGAATTTTAGAAGTGATGTCTCAAGTTTTTGTTAGTTCCCTAAAGTACAGGTTGGGGATGGGAGAGACTTTAGAAATATGCTGAGCTGCGGGGGAACTGTAAGAGCAGGTTTGTCAAAAGTTTAGTCTCCTGCCAGGCCACGGTAGCTCAGTGGTTGAGTACCTACCTATGAACCAGGAGGTCACGGTTTGATTCCTGGTCATGCACATGCCCGGGTTGTGGGCTTGATCCCCAGTGTGGGGCATGCAGGAGGCAGCTGATCAATGATTCTCCTCATTGATATTTCAATATCTCTCTCTTCCTCTCCCTTCTTCTCTGAAATCAATAAAAATTAAAGTTTAGTCTCTGGAAAAGCCGTTCCTGAGATGTGAGGTGGATCATGCTTGCTGGGAGCTTGCCCAGATGAGCCTATCAGTTAAGATTCTGTAGTTAATAGCCCTAGCCGTGGTCGGCAAACTGCGGCTCTTTGGCCCCTTGAGTGTGGCTCTTCCTAAGCCTTAGTAGTACCCTAATTAAGTTAATAACAATGTACCTACCTATATAGTTTAAGTTTAAAAAATGTGGCTCTCAAAAGAAATTTCAGTTGTTGTATTGTTGATATTTGGCTCTGTTGACTAATGAGTTTGCCGACCACTGCTAGGGAAAGTGTCCCTAAGGAATAGTAAAGATGGAAGGTAATTAAGATGCACAAACTATTACCCCTTAAATGCTAGAAGTTAGAAAGCTATCATACAATTCAGCACCATTTTTTGCCCTACCTGAGAGAAACCACACATAAATAAATAGACTCTGAAGGTGAAAATTTTGTTAAGTCCAACCTAGAAAAGGACTCGTTCATCATCAAACCCTATCAAATAGATCCTATGAAGAATTTTGTATTATGAAGGTACAACTTATTTTACATGTACCTCACAACAGCTTTATTAAACTGCTAAACATATAGAGATTTATGAAGGTATCTGATAAAGGGTAGTGTTGATTAGGCAATGAACTGGTTAAATATTTTTTTACAAACATAATTGAACACTAGCTAATATTTGATTTGACTTTTTATTACCCTTTTCTTTTAGAACTGTGATCCTGAATTGTCAGGGTCTGCTGGATTTTTGTGCAGTTTTAATTTCTTTCAGAATGCTTTTTTAAAAAAATTTTATTGATTTGAGAGGAAGGGAGAGGGAGAGATAGAAACATCAATGATGAGAGAGAATCATTGATCAGCTGCCTCCTGCACGCCCCTACTGGGGATCAGTCCTGCAACCCGGGATGTGACCTTGACTGGAATCGAACACAGGACCCTTCAGTCCACAGGCTGAACCAGCTAGGGCTCAGAATGCTTTTAAGCAACCTTATTGTGGCTCTCACTCTCCCTCCCTTTCTCTCTTGAAGCTGTTACACTGTATTAAAAATCTAAAATCTTCCATCTTTTTTTTAAAAGTAGTGAATTTACTATATTTTCTCAACCTCATCTCCAATTCTTGGATCTCACAGGAATCCTTCAACTGCTTTCTACCAAGCGTTCCATTTGAACACGTTTCAGGAATCAAAGAACCTCTGGGATAGGTATGAATACTCACATATGGAATGTGTACATGCAAAGGTGTATGCATGAATTGCTTTGCACTGAACTGGTTTCTCATCACTAAAACTGATCTTTGTTATTTTAGAGGGGGACTCATGTATTTAGCATGGGACAAAGCAGCAAAATAAACCAAAAGGACAGTCTATATTTTATATAGGATATAAACATTTCTTCTTACTGAACTTTTAATTATATTTATTTTTGGAAGGATTTACATTTTCTATTGAATTTTATTATATGAAATATTTACTTACCCTTGTGTATTTTAATGTTAAAATATATTCTATAAAATAAAGTGCCTACAGTTACTTTAATTTTGTGCTACTTTTATTTCTCTGTAAAAGCCTTAGTGACTCAAAGCAAAATGTTATCTTATATTAAGAAATTGGAGGAGGGACAAAACCAAGGAATCAAAATAGTAGTCATTGTTTAACTCTTGGCGAGAAACTTTACCATCAAGCTTGTTGGCTAGAATTCATTAGTCTGCATTACTGTTTTGTAAATCCCTAAAACGGTTTTCTCACAGAAATGTGTACATTTTACTTTTAACTTTTAAAAATATTGAATGAAGTCAAGTTCATTTATGGTAAAAGTTACTTTGGTTTATCTTTCTGCGTAATACACATTTTAAGTAGTATATGCTCTGTTGAGTTATTTTGCTAAATGTTTATTAGCACTCTATCATTTTGTGTCTAATTAATAGAAGTTGAGCGCAAATGTTTTTAAAATTTTCACAAAGCTTTGTAAAGTTCTTTCAATTCTGCCTGGCAACGCATTTGTGTCCTCTGGCATAGTTTGGATAACACTCATGGACTTAACTCCATCTCTTTCATTTGAAAAGAGTATTGCTAAGTGCATGTCATGCTTAACATGTCATGTTAAGACATGGTCTACATTGCCTAGAAATGGTAACAGTCTTCTAATTATTTGGCTTGATTTGCTTTGTGTGTCACTTGAAAGAAATTTTCTAACAAACTGTCTTTTTTGTGATGTGTTCCTTACTTTACTAAAAATGTTTTTAAAATAGTTACTTGTAGAACAAGACATTTTAAAATTTATAGTACCATGTTTATAAATTTCATTTTTAAATTGTTCAGCTAAAATAAATAAGTAAAATTGTCCCACTCTAGCAATAAGTTAAGGCATAAATGTAAATTGTGGCATGAAACAGCATGAAGGTTTAATCATTCGAATGGCTTGCCAGATGTAGCCAGCCAGGGTGAGTACTTTGGTGTATATTTTATACTTTTCTCTTAGAAAAAGGAAGAATAGCACTCTATATAGAAATGTAAGAATGGTTTTCACATGTATGATAATTTATTTCAAATAACTGACTTTTGTGAGCTGCCATGACATCAATATGAAAGATATCTATTTTCATCAAATCAATGTAGAAAAGTTTGAGCTTTTTTTAAAATATAATTTGTATTTAATACTGAAAGATTTCTTTTGTTTCATTATAAAACAACCATAGAAATTGCCTGCTTTTCATTTGTTTTTACAGCTAAATGCTCCTTATCTAGTTTTGATTTTAGATACCAGAAACATTTAAGGTATCAGAAATGAGGCAAGTTACTATATCTGTAGTTTCTCTTGGGTTAAAATATATTCTCTTCTCCTTGGAGCCTGTTGTCCAGAGCCAACGAAGTTAACGGATACTTGTCTGTAGTATGTTAAAGCCAAAATATAATCATAATTCATATTCTAGATCAGCTATATTCAATGTAAATTGGCCTGTTGGTACTGAGGCTACAAACCCGACCTGGTAGAAACTGACCAGTGGTTTCCTTTTAACTTTTTATCCAGCTTATTAAATTTTCAATTGAGAAGAATAGTAGCAGCTAGCTTTATTAGTTCCAAAACATCTACCACTTCACTTGGCAGATATCTAGACTTTTGAATTAGCTAAAAAAAAGTATTGTGGGACTATTAATTCTTTTTCATTGCAGACAGGGGTTGAAGATTTGTATGTGTTAAGCTTTAAAAAATATTATATATAACTTTTCCTAACCTTGTTTGTATTAGATCTCACCAAAGTGTCTTGTTCATTTTTTACTATTATAAATTTTGAATTGTAAAAAATTTTACAACTAATTTGGCAAGTAAGTATTTAATAGAATCATTCAGTATTTATCTTCTACATGCTTTGAGGTATAAATTTGCCTATGCAAGTCTCCTATTTATAAAGTCTTGGAAATCATTTTCGGTAGGGGAAGCTTTTAAGTCCTGTGCCAGTTTTCATTAAGCCTGCCCTAGAAATCTGAAGAACCCTGATTTTGCCTACTTGAAAGACTGGAATCTTTTTCTAGGATTCTTTTCATAGAGTATCTTTTAATCAAAATATAAGTAACTAATATACCTTTCTCACATTGACTTAGAGTTCTCTCATAGCCCCTCTGTTTTCTTCTCTATTTTAATTAGAATTACCAAGTTGAGAAGCTTTTCACCAATCAGTCTGCTTCTGTCTGTATTTAGATATTCTCTTTCCTTTCCCTTTTACTGTAGGTGCCATCATTGTTTTCTGGCTCCCCATTTGTCATTTGCAGAGTCCTCAGATAATCATTCAGCTGAAACCATCACTAAATGTGTATAAGGACAGTAGATACTGATATGTCAAAAATAATACAGGCCTTTCTTAGGAAGCCCAAATGTTTGTGTGGACTATTTATTAAAATGAATAATGTAGCTTCCATAGTTAGCTTTGTGGGGATTATTTTACCATGAAGAAGTTCATTTTTAGTGATAGCATAGCCTATTAGCATTTCATTATAGTAGCTTTAAATTTTGACTTTCTATTTTCCTGCTTTAAAGAACTGCTTTCCAAATTTAAATATTGGCATTGCTTTGTTAAATCAATAGAATTGTTTTTGAAACTTGATCACTAGGGAGCAGGCGCTAATTGTGAGTCTTTTGAATGCAAAGGCTCAGAGTAAGAATTTACAATAAACAATTTTATTCTCTTGTAAATATCAGGTCAGTAAGGTAGAGAGTACTAGAAGGAAGAAACTTTAGCTCAGGTAGATTAAACAGGAAATCAGGTAACTTGTAAGGATTTAACCTAATTGATAAACAACTTGCAATATTTCTGCCTTAGTGAAGAAAATGCATAAATGTGGTTAACAGATGAGAGTTACAGTTGCTAGTTGCACCATCCCCTTGAATCAGCTTGTCCTTCTTTATGATAGCACCAATATTTTAAGAGAAATAAAGAGAGTAGTACACATGGGTTATTAACTTAAAGTTAATGTCTGGTATGTCTTTTACTAGATACTTGATGATTTTGCTTAAATTTTATACAGTAATTATTTTTAGCTAGTTTTTTAAAATTATTAGATTAGGAAAAACTTAAAGTATTTTATGGTAGAAAAGGCTTCCAGTATTTCCTATCACTTTTCTGTATGAGATTTTATTTTTGAAATTAGGAGTAAATCAAAACTAAGCTGCTTGAATGAGACTATTTGGGTTGTTTTACTCATCCTCCAAGAAGCTTTGATTCATTATTAAAACCCACCAGTACTTGTTAACCCAAATGGTAAAACTCAGGTTTCAGAACTTGGCTAATCTAATCTATATTTTGAATGCTCAGTGATATGTCTTTGTAAAAATCATTTTATGGAAATATAATTTGTATCAGAAAAGTACACCATTCATAAATGTACAGTTCAAACTGAACACACCTGTGCAACCAGCACCCAGCTCAAGATACAAAATAGTATAAGCTTCTTAATGACCCCTTCCTATCACTTCCCACCTCAAACTAACTTCTAATAAATGGAATAATTCACTATATATTTTGTTTGTGCCCTTTGAATCCAGTATTATGTTTCATCTATATGATTCAGCATAATTGTAAGTCTGAGCTACGTACTTTTAAAGAATCACCAATAGTGGATCACTTGTTTGAGATTGTTAATGGTTTAATGTCCTCTCCTAGTGGTTATATTAGTTCTCTTGTAGCACCTCTGTTTTCTTCTCTATTTAAATTAGAATTACCAAGTTGAGAAGCTTTTCACAAATCTGCTTCAGCTGTATTTAGAGGTTCTCTTTCCTTTCCCTTGAGTAAATGAATCTGAGCTGTTTTATAACCACCCCAAATATATTCCCTAATAATTTGTATCTAGTACTTAAATAATTTATTATCTGATTACATTTTTACCTATTCCAGTTAAGGATATCTAATAGAGGATAATCAAAGACACTAAAAATTAGAGGACAAAATTTAAATAACCTGTCACCTTTTAGTACTGGATCCCAGATTTCGATGAAAACCTAAGGACATGCTTATAAAATGTCCAGATGACATTAAAGCAGGAAGTCATAGCTATTACTGGATGATAGCATTTATAAATTTAATAATCTGAAGCATGAGAAATTGAAAGAACTTGTATGTAAATTTGGGAAGGTTGAATATGTAGAGTGTATTAGTTGATGGCATTTATAGTTTTAGTTAGCAAGTGACAGGCCTGCCACAAAAGCTAATGAAATTTTAGGCAGGTTTTTGTAACTAGAATAAACAGGAAAAGATGGTGACAGACCTATTAAGCTCTAATGCAAAGCTAACTAGACAGTCTACTTAGCATACTCTATCTGGACAACCAAGTGGGTGTTTCAGCAGGCAGGCTGGAGCTAACTTTCTGAAAGTGGATGGGCCCCCTGGAAAATAGTTTTGCCATCACTAGAAATAATAAAGCTGTCTTACTGGCTGTTAATTAGGAATGTTAACTTTGAGCGAGATTTAGCGCCAATTACTTTTTAAATCCCTACTCTGTGGAGTTTTATTTCCCTTAGTGCTAAATGGAAAAGAGGCAAGAAAAGCATTAGAATTGAGTTTCTTTACTTCTTTTTGTCATTATTGGCCATGGTTGTCAGAAAACCTCAGAAAGTTACATGTTTGCTTAGGAATGGAAGGCTTGCAAACTATTTTCTGTTCGGAAAGAATCCCATATCATAGACAATTAAGTGGTGGTCCCAAATAGGGAAA